ATGTGCTACGCATGTCACCAGGTAGGTTACCACGGCGAGCGATGTTCGCCGAAGAAGATAAAGAGTGGAAAAAAGCCAAGGGTGGTGAAGCTAAGACCTGGCACGAGGGTATGAAAACCCTAACCAGGAAACTGGGTCACATAGGTCTGGATGATGGTCACCGATGGTTAGCTACACTGAGTGATATGGCTGGGTGTCGCAAACAGTGGTCACCGATGGTTAGAGACACTGATTGATATGGCTGGGTGTCGCAAACAGTGGCGCTCGTGCTATGAAAACCCTAAGCAGGTAACTGGGTCACATAGGTCCTGTTAGGCTCCCTGGCTGGGGACCTCGGGATGATCGTAACCGAAGGTCACATAGGTCCTGTTAGGCTCCCTGGCTGGGGACCTCGGGATGATCGTAACCGATGGTCAGAGACACTGAGCAATATGGCTGGGTGTCGTAAACAGTGGCGTTCGTCCATCTCCTCAATTTCTTTGCAACCTTGGTGTCGTGCATATCCTCAATTTCTTCCCAACCTTAGTCCACTGAACTTCTCCATTTTCCTTTCGAATCCACTTTCAACTTTCCTTTCTTCTCCTATTCTTCATCCAAATGGGCAGCCAAAAGACAGCAACCAAAACCGGCGCACGAAAGTGGTTGTTGAAACTGAAACTGAAACTGGTCATCCACTGGAATAAGTAGTTTGCTGAGACAGGTAATAGATGGAAAGGTCAAGAGCGGTCAAATTAAGACTTTGTATATGTCCATGAAAATCCTAACCAGGATACTGGGTCACAGGCACTGTTGTACGCCCTGGATGAGGATTCTGGGATCAAGGTAACCGGTGGTTAGAGATACTGGATGATATGGCTAAGTGTCGCAGTGGCACTCGTGAATCTACTCTGTCTTCTTACAATCTCAAACTATATGAATTCCCTATGTTCTCTCTGACTCTGCCGTTTTATCCAAATGGGCAACCAAAACCGGTGCATGAAAACACATGGTTAATGGTTAGAACAACTGAAATTGAAATTAGGTATTTTACAGTCACACGATCTAGAAGTAGTTGTAGGGCTTGGGAAAACTGAAGTCTTCATCTACAGTAACGCCGTTGGCAATAACTGTCTGTGATGGCTAGAGACGTGGTATAAGCAATGGAGGAATCTTGTCACAAAAGATGCGTACAGTGTGGCCGAATCGCCAATGAAACCCATCAGGTCGTCGAATGTTCTAGTTTATGGGTGTCTATGATCCACCCTTTTTGTTTTCTTTTTTACTTTCTTTTATTATATATATATATATATATGTATGTGTGAATGATGTGACAAAAGACTACCGGTTACGCATGCCTGGCGAGCGGCAAGAACCGAGAACCCGATAGTGTGCTTCCAGAGAAATTTTGTCGAGTCATTCATATTCTCCTTATTGTGAAATGCACATACGTATATCTTCCGGAAGGCGGAAACAGGCAATCAAAGGACTGTCATACATAGAAATGGGAAGAGTTGGGTGGCCGTGATGGGATTCGAATACACTTCCTCCGGTGTGATAAGCTGGTGACCCTAACCGTTTTATTACCGCCGCCCATGTTTGATTTTTGCGTGATTTAATTTTGTGAAGCCGAATAGAACACAAACTTTAAGGACTTCACCTTGAGCGTCTGACTGAAAGTTCTCATACACGAGGTAGTGAGACAGTTGGTGGTTAGAGTCCGCGTATTATTATGGGCCGTTGTTTAGCGAATCGGACGGTACGGACTTCCGACGGGGATACAAACTATTAGGGAGAGTGACGCGTCTCACAGTCCAAGGGGAGCATCAGATATGTTTCTGAGGTTGTTTGGAAACACTATGAGCTTAATGTAATGCATTATTTCATCGAGGGCAATACGGTCACAATGCGAAAGTGAATGATACTTGGGACTCACTTGGCGTGTTTTACTCGACAAGCCTCGGAACAATACTTCTCGCCGGGGATAGGTGCCGATATGCATGTGGGTCCAGCACAGTGAGGTGGTCCGGAAATAACCAAATCATCGTCGGAATCCTCATCGAGGAAATCCATTCCATCACCCGAGGGAAGAGGGAACATACCGGATACAGAGTCCTTATTTCGAGAGCTGTTGGTAGATCCTATCGAGCCTGATGAAAGGAAATGGTAGGTGTGCATGATTGTATGTATGTTCACCTATATTAATACAACAAAAACAAGTACCACATAAACAGAACTCTACAGCCGGGAGAGACAGAGATATGAAGAGTGAAGAAATTTGGAAGCCCATTTCGTATTAACTTGACGAACAATAAATGAGTTGGGAGAGTTACCGGAATGAGAATCACCCACAAGCTCCATAGAATCGGGATCAAATGGGCAGAACAGGCTGCTCAACTGGAAAATAAAACAAGCTAATCTGATTGCGTGGACATGACTGCGGATTTCGAAAAATGGCTCTGTGAATGCAGTATCAAAGGTATTGCACATGCTTACAAACCACTGGTGCGAGTTGAAGGGGAGAAACTATTTATTTCTTGAGTTATCGAATTGCTCAAAGAACGTTTCATTTTAACATAGTAATTCTTGCACACACATGGTGACAACGTTACAATGATGATAATGAGATGTGGCTACAAAAGAGGTAAATGGGAAGAAACGAACAGAAAACAAAATTGTTGTATCCCAGTAGTTTAACTGAGCAATCGTTGCTACCTCTGTTTGTTCATCAGTTCTTTATGGGTCATGGAAGTTAAACATCGTTGCGTCTCTAACCCAGAACAATCCTCACCAATGCAGCCCCAATCCGGAAAGCTGGCTGTCGCAACCGAAGCTAACTTTCTCCTGCTCCAACGCTAGATGAGAGTGCAAACGCTGTGTCGCTTTTTCCAGCTTTACCCAGCACGTGCCGAGCTAGTACGGAGAATAAAACAACAGATAGGCATATGCCAAACAGGATTCAAGCACAGGAGCGATTTCCTCTGTCAGCGAACAACTGTCAGCACCCAACGACGAATTTCTTCATTCTTCAGACGATGCTCCCACTGGACTCGAGCAATGATCCACGACCGATGCAAACCATAGCCTGCTTCTTATGAGGAACGCTAACGGCTCTGAGATTTAGCTTATACTAATGCGGTTGGCGCAGTCACTGCACGGACTCTTCTTGAAGATGGAAACAACTGACTACACGAGAAAAAGCACGACGTTCTCCAACAAGCTCTATTCCGCCATCCATAAATAGAGCTGGATGGAAGCCATCGGAGAAAGGAGCTTTGATATCCTAGGGCTTGGATTTTCTCGTAGATCACCGCCTCAAAGTGGGTCTAGCGGGACCGACTACTGGGCATCTGCTGGAGCAGCTGTGGAAAAAGCAGGCTCTGGTGAACAGCTAAATTGTGCCTTTAACGGCTCCGCCCAACGTGCAGTAAGCCGCTGTTTATTGGGAATAAACGAGCCGTCAGCCTCATGAGTAGTTCCGCTCATATCAGATACTTTTCTACCGACAATCTAGATGAGGATAAGCTTACAGAAATCATCCATGGTGACAGCATATTTGATCCCTGACGCATGTTGGGTCCAACAGATTATGTGGCCTCTGTGTAGGCTTGCATTATTTTCATTACACACTTTTCGTGTGATGAACGGTAGACGGCGAAAGCCCCATAGTCACGAAGACCTGCTGTTCAGTGATGGAAACCGGTAGCCCAANATAGGTTAGGTGTGGTATTGAACCGGACGACAGCAAGGCTGCCTACCATCAACGTTGGGTGGCGGTGGCCGTGGTGGGCCTCAAACCTCGGACCACGGGTTTCAAAGCACGCCGGTGACAGCGACTAAACCACTGCGCCACCTTAATCCGGAGGTTTTAAGAGGAAAAAGTAGTCGTGCCTGCATGCCCAAGTCCCCTGGTTAAGCTATTTATACCTTAAGGTCAAGTTATAGTTTGACCACTTTTGGTCTTCTCGGCAAAACTCGCATGCCTGTCCGGAGAAATACGCCACACATGATCCAGCTGCCACGATCTATGGAGTGAGCAATTGCGATTCCCTGATACTTTTCGTCTAGACTCACCATTGTTTGTCCGATTGCTCCATCAAACTCGAGCAAGACGGTGTAGACAGCAAAAACTGATATTCAGTCTTGTAACAGTCACGTTTTTGCGCCATACAGGAGAACCGGCCGGACAGCTGCAGCATATGCTCAAACCCTCACAAACAACCAAATGTCTCGGGGGTGCAGTCAATTGAGATGAACACCGAAGTCAGCAAACATTGCTCGATGAGGCTTTCCATACGAATACAGAGTTGTAAATTCCAAAGGCGTGCAAACCATGGATTGATGGGACGTACCCAAAAGTGAAACTTTAGTGATGGTATCAAAGGCAATTCTTATATCGCGTGAATTAGGTGAACAGTTTTCATATCCCACTGTGTGGAGCAATCACTCCATGAAAAAAAGTTTAAACCGTTAAGCGATTTAGACCGCTAGGGCCCGGGATGCACGTTCCAGAGACACAACAGTAACCGGAGAACCCGTCCACATGGGCTTAATAACCTGCACGAGAAATCCGCGTATTTGAACACGCTACACCAAAACAAATTAAATGCATAGAAACAGCTGAGCCAAAAAAGATTGAAGGATAGCACCTGGTATTGGAAACCAGGGAATTGAAAAATGTCGTATGTATGGAACATCATTATTACCCGAAACTGATGGGAGCTTGGAAAGACAAGAGTTGTAACGGTGTTTTCATCCAGTAAAATAGTATTTTAAACAGAAGTTAAACGCCTCAGAATGGTAGCATGATCGTTAAGTTTGATTAAGACCGGCCAATGAAGACCATCAATGGCATGAATGATGAACTGACTCATTCCTTTCAATCCTCAAAGATATCACATCATCATCATCATCGTACAGCGAAATACAGTGAGGCGAAATTCACTGCTCGCTGCCAAACTCGCAATGCATACAAGGTTAGTGGTAAAATTTAAGGTGGACAGGGATTGTATCTATTTTGAAGGAGAGAGGAGAAGGTGAACAACTATGATCAACACAGAGTACGCAATCGAACTCTGCAAGCATTCTGACCTGATAAGAAACGACAAGAACGCCACTACTGCTGGTTTGCTGCCATATCCTTTAATGTCTCCAATCAACCAATTGTGGAGTCTTTCGGACCCCAACCTGGAAGGCGAAAGACACCTACTCTACCTAATGGCTCTGTGCATTTATTCATGCCTCGTCTCCACGTCATCTGTTGATCTCTACGTGGTTTCCTACAACCCGGATTAGCCACAGCGAATAAAGTGCGGTGCGGCAGACAATGGCTGGGCATACGCAATATGTGCCCAAGCCAGCAAAGTCTACTAATCTGAATTCGGTGTGCTAGCGGATTTATAACTGATAGACTTCCAAACACACGACGGCTTACCTCCACGTTACGAACCCGTCCGCTCTATCCAACGTGGGCTAAACTGCGTAAACACCGATAATCGAAAAATTCTAGTCGACAGATATCTTCTACTCGCAAATTCAAGGTCTCACAACCACAAGGAGAATCGAACTTCTACGGATATCGAGTACCATGCAAACACTGAAACTATTTGGCAGGTCAACCCTCTGTGGTAAGTGAACTTCAGGTAGTACGACTACACAGTAATACAGTCACAACCACAACGGAACGGAATCGGAAACACGTGTTCTGCAATGGGTAAGAATACTTGGAACAACTAGGTAGGGCAGTGTCTGAATTGAGCTAATTACAACTAGAGTTCGTGTAGCACTAATAAGTGCATATTTGCATATACCATCCGCAAAGCGACAAAAATTTGTTCTAATCGCTTCGGTCTGCTCGTCACACGTGTGGAAGATTTCCGATCGATTGGATGAACGTAGGATCAGATTTTTCAGACATGCTGTATATAAACCTCGAATGTCATAATAAACAATACTTCATGAGACGAATCAGTTGTCACAGTATGCAGGATGGCTTTGTTGGGTCAGTTCAGTTTAAACATTCATTAAGCATGCGTTTCGGTTCGACGCCTTTGATTGCTGTCTTTTGGCTTCCCATTCGAGTAAACAATAGGAGGAAAACAAGATGGTTGAAAGTAGTAGGATCGAAGAGAAAATTGAGAAATTCAGTGGACTATTGATGCTATACAACAAATGTTCTATTGGGGATTTCGTGTGGTTTGTCACACATTGACTACTAAAGCTTAAACAGCGTATTATTACGAATGAATAGATTTCAGCGTCTGGTTTTGAATTCTGCTGAACTTTGAAACTACCTGATGCGGTACTCACCGGATGTAGCCACTCAGTGATGGATAGTGGGGACTCTCTGAGACAGAATACGAGATAGTTATCTATCGAACAAGAATGGTGCATATATATATGATGATGATGATTGATTGATTGATTGATTGATGATGATGATGATGATGATGATGATGATGATGATGATGATGATGATGATGATGATGATGATGATGATGA